CGAAAACCGAAAGGGCATACTGACTGCTATGCGCAAAAGTTCTTCTTTTATTTACGGCGAATGAACACTTTTCGAAGCCAGAGTCCTTCATCTGTTGCTTGACGCCTCCCCCTGTTTAAAGTGAAATGTCGAGACTGGAACCCTATAGGCCCGTTTTCCCGCCTCCTTTAAGTACGTAAAAGCAAAACTGTTTTTTTCAACTGAAAGGCATCAAATTACTTATTGATATTAGAGATACATAGGCGAAATATAAAAGCAAGAAGTGCATGAAACAGGTCTCCGCTCTCTTAATGGATCTGGACCTCCCGGGTTTAGGGTTAGTTGTGTTGGTGTTCCGCAGAGTATGCACTGCAGGCGGCGACCAATGAACAGGCGCGGGTTTTGTTACTCTGTTTCTCCAGGTAGTGATGGTGTTGACACTGACGTGGGCTTTGGTTTCTCTTGGAATGCTTGGCTTCTCCTACCCCTCATCTGCGCCAGAGTTGTAGTAGGCTTAGCAGTAGTAGTAGTCTACACGTAGTGAGATTCTGTTGGGTTCTGTCTAATTGGAGGGCTGGGGAGTTTATTGAGGGAGATATTACTGGTGGAAAACTTAACAAACTTCTGCTGTTGTACATCGCAGGGGGTGGCATTGTTGGGAAGGTGCCAGTCTGAACTGGTGCTCCGGTGCAGGGCCTGAAGTGTGGCCGCTTTCATTCGGAAGGAACTCCTCCGGTGGTCCTGGGAGTTCATGGCCTCGGCCAAGCGTCCGTCATCCTCCTCCTCGGTTTCCTCGTCATTCGCCTCGATGTCCTCTGATGAGGGCCACCGGTGACCCTCAAGGTCACTCCCCGAAATGCCGTGTTCGTGGTCTTTCTGGGGATTGAGAGGTCGGCGCAGGTTTGAAACTCTACCCACCAGAGGGCCCGTCTATAAAAAAAGCGAATTTACCCTGGTTAAAGACAGGAAAGTGTATGTGTTATCGATTTCTTTAATTATACAAAACTGCTACAAGAACACAGAAGTCGTGGTTGTTTCTTCTGTTTTGAGACATTCTGACGCACACCCTTGATTAAATTCAAGTGAAAACCAAAGTAAAGTTTGGGTAAAAGCACATTGGAGCCAAATAGCCGTTGCTCTGAGGCATCAACGCAAAGGTTGTAATTTCCAAAAACGAAAGTACGGAAAGTGACCTAATAATTTTTGGTTTAAATTTCCCCACCAACTGGTTACACCCCATTCTTAGATCTGAAGATTAATCTCAACTTAGTAATTTTGAGCCTATTCGGAGTCTGGCACTCCAGCACTAACCTCCGGGTTTTCACTCTACAGTTTGGATAAATTGGTGTATACCAATGGCATATGTTGTGGGGCCTCAGACTCACCTGAAGGTCAGTGATTTGTGATAAAATCATGGGACCATCCGCATAGGTCAGAACTAGGGTTAACTGACAACCTTTTATCGAGCAACAGCTTTTATTTATTGAGTATCTGAACACTCGACTGCCCGCAAGGCTTCAGGATAAAACAGAGTTGTATTGCACCGCTTTCTAATCTTCCAGACAACCGACCGAACGCAGTTACAGTAACCTAATTATATACGCCGGTTGTGTTTAAGTGTCAAAATTGTGGCTCGATAGGCTTCGTCTACCGCAGACAGAAGACTGTTTCATTTTACTGTCGGTTCTAGTTATCGTCAAGTACAGAATGCAACAAAGCTCATGCAACCACGATTGCAACATACAATGCGCTTGCAAATTTAAAACAGTATATCAATAGTATACGGACAAGTTTGCAGTTGTTACAAACCTATAAAGAAATTCAGGGTTCGTTAATTAGCGGTCGACTGTGCGTAGTTGGTTGAATGTATTTCAAGCAAACCGTGGAAGTCACATATCGCAAAAATTATGGTAGATGCACTATTTTCTTATAATTAATTTGGATACTGTTATAAGTTTAATCACCCTCGCTTGAAACCATGCCCACAAATTTCATAGTCATGCACCGTATATAGGACAGTTGTCCTACTTTACCTTCTGTAAGTTAAGAAATAAGACATTTATACTTCAATATATTTTATTATTTCTTTTATGTGGTTAAGAAGAAGCAACAGTTATAATTTTTGAAGCTCCGAAAGTGCCTAATTTATCCGCATTACCCTTATATTTCTTAGTTTTCAAACCAGGAGGCCGTTTAAAATACGATGCTGCAACGCCATCTACTACGTATGTTTTTTTAATATTACACAGCGCAGTGAGCATCGCAAATGTTGCTATTTAAAGGCCAATTTTGGTACGGTGGCTGATAGTTTGGAGGTCATTTACGAATAAAATGGACAGTCTCAGTCGTGAAAGAAAAGGGCAAAAACCCGACCAAATTATGGTCTCTTTTGAAGTGGAGTCGTGGCTCGAAATGCTTTCACTGGATTTGGCCCATAACCTTCTGAGCAAAAGGCTGGAAATGCAGATCCTAATTATGATTTATCTCCTCATGCAGCTTTCGATTTTTGCCAGAAAACCTGTTTCACCTTTCGAGGAGAAACTTACGCGCGGACTTCATCAAGGCGCGAAAATATTCACTCGTGCTTGAAAACGCAACTAGCCTACACAGAGGAAACCTTAGTGTGCATCTGCCTGACATTAGTGCTCTCATCTTTCCCATTTCTACGAAAACATTCGTAAAAACATGATTGGATGAGACACAGTGCCTACTCTTTTTTGAATGTGATACAGCCCTTCCAACTTCGGACTGTGATAGAAACCCCGAGAGGCTAGAGCTGCAAGGTGATTGAAATTTGACAATCTGATGAAAATTCATTTGACCGGTAAGTAAATCTCTCACCCGTGTACAGAACTCTGGACGTCAGCTGGCTACCAATCTCGCAGTCCCACACTACCGCCCACTTTTTTGCATTTTTCTGTCTTTGGTAGACTGTTGCGCCTGGTACAAGACTCCGAACGCTTGACATGTGGTTTTAATGACCAATTAGGTCTCATATTAATTGCCAAAATGCTGCCAGACCCATAAATTGTTGATAAGCGCCTGCAAACTGGCATTCGGAACATTACTCGCTGAGTAGAATTGGAGATTAAGGTTAATTTCCTGAAAGCTAAAACTTGTCTCGAGAAGTTTCAAAAAGTAGCTCTGTGTCCACCTTTATATTTTGCAAGCTCAGAATTATACCAGCATGAAGAGCTGATAGTATCTAATGCGGTCACGTGAACAGTTTGTTATTGTTTGAAAACTTGGGATATCGGACTATTGGAAGATCTATGCGTCTTTACTAGCAAAACATCATATAGTAGGGGATATTTGCGAGTACTTGATCGTTTCTGAGAGCACTTCCTTTTAACAATGCTGAGAGACCGAGCGAATATCATTTAAAGGCACTAAAACAACACTTTCCGGATAAGGTCGTGACTAGCCTATATGTGTAAATAGGTTGGAAGATAAAGGCTGAAATAGGCTTCTCGTGAAAGACATACTTTTGTTCAGTCAGGAATCCAGCCAAACGAGTGGCACTTCTAAATCGGGTTTTTGGAGTCGCGGTGAACTTCTCCCTACCAAAACAGCTGTGCAAGTTACCAGCAAAGATCATCGGAACTATGTCAGTTCCGTTGATGACCCCTCAACATTCGTCACTTACTCAGTTCGTCGCGTCCATAAGGCATAACGTCGGTTTATTATCTTAGGACAGACTCTGTTCACCAAGTCGGCCCCTCGAGTAGTTCTTTTTGAGAGTTCGAACAAAAGAAACCAACCTTTTTCTGCGGAATACGGGAATAGAACACCCCACGCTTATAGGAGTTACCTTGTACTAAATTTCTGGGGGCGTAGGGTCAGGCAATATTAAGAATAAGGTAGGTTTGGGGTTAGGGTTCACTTTTGCCTAGGCTTAGGAAAAGCTCCTCTTCCTGGAATTTAGTATAGGCCACCTATTTTACGGGGCGTTCCTAGTTCTGTTCTCTGCCAGTGGGCGGGGATCCCACATAAATGCGTCACCCCATATCCACATATGAGGAAGGTCCATAGTGGTCTACTTGGAGATTGTCTTGTGGAATCTTATACCAAGAAGAAAACAGGCAGAGTATGTGGCAACATCATTCACAGCGAACCAGACTTCCTGTCTGTTTCTGTTGGGATGTTCTTCTTTCCATTCATCCATTGGATGTCCTAATAGTTCGCGAGCAACATTTTTTTCGCTAAAAAGCCTTTATCCTGCACAAAAGCTCAAACTCTCATCCAGCCACGCAGGCATTATTTGCAGAATTTCGAATCTCGGTGAGGAAGAAGCTTGGGACTTTACACTCTTCCGCCTGTTTGTTCAGTAAGCAAACTGGCATGCAGAATACGCCCAGCCACCGTTTAAAGCTCAAGATTTTTAATCTGACCTATGTTTACTGGTGTCCTTTCGCCTCTAAGGTTGAGACGCAATCTGAGTATAAGTGAGCCCTATGCACAAACTCTTTTCCAGTAACATATTCAGCTTAGCAATGTGTCTGACAGTTTTTTAATCGCTATGCTAATTTTTTCCTTATACATTTCACTTGCAGCTTACACTGTTATACCTATGGAAGCTTGTGCGGATTTAGTTGTCCAGCACTGACGGCTGCGACAACACGAGGAAAAGAGTTCCACGAATACCGACTCAAAAGTGTTTTGCAGTTGGTACCATACTATGACTGTGACTTTCATCAGAATGCTGCAAATTCTTGCGAATCCCCCTCGAGGGCAATTGTGGGGATCATACCTTTCAACAAAGTTTAATACGTAGAGTTCTTTATGAAGATAGTGCTCCATCGTTTTGAGTATAAACAGAAACATGTTCGTGCCTTCTTGTTTTCAAGTTCTGTCAAGAGTATTTGCGAGCAGTGGTGATTTCGAGCCTCATTTTCTATCAGACCAGGATGACCTGAGTTAGAGCGGACTCGCCGCAACTAAGCCAAGCATCGCAATTCCTGTCAGTTTACCTCCTTAGCCTACATTTTCTACACAGCTGAACAATTAATAATAGGGAAAAGGGATGCTCTGCAGAGACGATTCAAGGTAAGTTCCGGTTGGGTATATATATATATATATGTATATATATAGTTTAATGCGATAAACTTTTAGTGGACCACTGATGGTGCAAAAAATCGTAACTTCCTCCCCATAAAGCGTTCACTTGACATACTGCGCAGAAAATTAGACCCATTTAATACATATAAAAAAAACCAGCTGCGCAGATGTCCCCCATGTTGACTTTCAATGGCCAGGGAAGCCTCCTGCATAGTTTAAGTCAAGCTTTGTGGTTTATATTCGACACCGTTAGCAACATCCAATGAAAAGGGGATTGTGGCAATTGCCATAAACAGCTGAACTTCGTAACGGATCCAAATAGACTTTGGAACAAACATCATTCTTCAAGTAATTTGTCTTGTGCCAGATGACGTCTTCCATTGGAATGCAGAACTCCACGTTACTGGAAGACCCTTTTCGAAAGTATATTCCGTCAGCTCTAGCGCAATGGGCTGTCAGACACGCCAGGATGAAGTCACCGATAGTATAAATATGCGTACAATATGCTACTCGCAGTTTGTTCCAAGTATTGGAGGCAGTTGAATGAGCCAACGTAAGGATCTAACTTTATTGCTGTTAATAGTTACTTTGGTCAACGTGTTTGTTTGCATGTCAGAACAGTGACTGTTTGGGTGCTTCCTCACAGATGCTCCATCTGATTCAATTAAAGACAACCTTATCAGCTGCTAACTCTATCTACATTTTCTTAAAACAACCAAATGAATTGGTTAATTCCCGTCATTCTTTGGAAAGTAGGTTTGCTATTTCGTGAAATTTTACCTGAAAACGCACATTCTTTTCAAAGTGATCACTTACATAGGGTTGACGGAGCAAATCTCATTAAAAATATTTGTAAGATATTTTGACATGGCGGGATACCGGTTCTTGAGCGAGCTTCTTTTCGAATGCTTGTTAAACCTCTAACTTCTTTAAATTGGCTACTTGAATATTTATGTATTTTTTCCTTGATTTTGGATGCCTTTATAATTTTAAATATTTTTTTTTCAAAGTATGTACGAAAATATCTCTTCTTATGCTCATTTGGTAGTTAATTACGTCTTCTTCAAGTTTAATACTTTACGAAAGTATCTTGCGCATTTAGAACAATGTTTATTAGCCATATAGTTTTGAACCAGACCTGCCGTGACACTTGCATTTAGAATTTCTAATTGTACGCTATGCGTGTCCCATCTAATGTAAATCACACTTCTTTACGTTAGCAGGAAGAGGTCGCATAATGCTCGTAAAAGGGTTTACAGTTTACAAAAGATTAGCATTAATAAATGGCAGATGTGATGCATTACGAGTGAGCATTTCACGGCCTCAGAAAATCTCATAATTATAATTGTAAACCGAAAATACACTTTGCACAAGTATACGGTTTAGCAAAGACGACATCGGGTAACGACACCTTTCAGAGTCGTGTACAGGCTTTCATTTGTATAACCGGAAAGGGAGACCGACGGTTCTATCTCATAGCCTCAAACTTCCATTTTGAACGCTGTAATCTCAGAAAGAATATTCCCTTTGAGAACTAGGCCAATCAATATTCTGAAGGTAGTGTTCGCTAGGCGGAAAATAATGCCCCATGAGTGAAATGTCATCAATAAAACTTACTGACACTCTTGTCCTACAGGGTAAGTCGAAACCCATTTTGCAGCGAAGCAGAGGTCTCGTAAAATGCCTTTTATGCACCATTAACGCCATCTTTGCAACACGTTTTCTCAAACCACCGTTTTATTTGAAAAAAGTATCCCCATGAAAAACAACTGCAGGCATACAACGTCCTAAGCTCCCCTCTGATAGGTCCGAGAGTGTGTGCT